CATGTTTGATGGAGCTGATGGGAGTTGGAGTTCAACAGTATCCTGAGGGCTACTGGTTCCTCAGCTCTGTTCTAGCAGACGTGTTGCAGTGGGCCACTGAGTCTTCTTTTCCCAATTTTCCAGGCCCTTGACATAACAAACCTTCAAGGTTGCAGAACCCTCATGCCGCTCAGGTTGTAGCTGGAATTGCAGTTCTTCTTCTGCCTCTCCCTTCCTCCACCTGCAGACTAGGGGAACAACTCAGGGGACTTTGGGATCTGAATTGCATCCACCACCTCCATCTCCAGCTCACCCAGGAACCACAATGCACTGATGATGATGTTTCCTGAGTAACATAACCTACCTAGTGCAAGGATTTCAAGGGTACTGCAATAACATCTAGAGGTGTGAATCCCTGTTTAATTAATCATGCACCTGCACAAAATTCCAGTAATTTAAACATCAGGGATAAAAATTTACAGGCTGAAATGTATTGGTGAAGCCTTTATGTGTGCCAGTGAAAACCGGCAAATCCCATTTAGTACATTTTCCCACCAGGTATAGTTTCTCAGATCTCCAGATGTTCCCTTTTCAACATAATCTCTTGTTGGAACCTATTCAATTAAATGTAGACAGGTGAATGGGCAGCATGCCACTGCAACAGATGGGAATGAGGCATCCTAGGCAAGAATTATGTACAAACAGTTAAAATGCGATCTGCTGGAAATCCAGACAAAAATGCAACGGAGGTGGCATTCAGCACTCCGGGAATTACACTAAGAGAGCATGGTTTTAGTTATAGAGCTGAATGCTCAACTGTTGAATAGGTTCCAGAAAAGAGAGGCCATTTTTATTCTTGGCACATTTCAAATCAATTCTGATATTTTGAGGTAATCTTTCTTAGATTTTAGACATAATTCTTAGAATTTATTTAGAATATCTGGATTTTAAAAATCTAAAATATTATTTAGTGCTACTAACCCCTTGTTTATATGTGGCTTGATACTACTATTTCTTAAGCGGCGTATAATTGGGATACCAAAGGAATACAGTATAAAATCAGTTAAGATCACCATTAAAAACAGAGAAACTTACTGCCTGCTGAAATTAAAGAAAAGCTCCTCCCTTGGGCAGCTCATAGGAACTGCTGAAGAGCCCGTAAGGAGGAGGACAGGCTGTCACCACTGAGGCCCAGCCCCAGGTGATGAACCAGCTCTGAGGGGCAGGTGGAGGACAAGGACCCTGGGCGGGAAGAAAGGCGGAGTAGTGTGGGGCACATGAGACATGATGGTTTTTATATATAAAAAAAGCTTTGAGTGACTGCATCTAATCTTGCCCATTTCTAAAATTTTCTTATTAGTATGTGTTTTTTATACCAAAGAATAAAATAAAATAAAATCGGGATTAAGGGATTTTCTCAGGACCACCAAGGAACCATTGGTATACTAGTGGTAGCACTCACCCTTCTTCTGATAGGAAATGCTCTGCAGCAGTGCAGGGAGGACAAAAAAAATGGGGGTCAAGGAGGGTCAATTGCAGGGGATTAAGGATGTCCCTATTTTCATATGAGGAATGTTGGAGGGTATGCTTTTGTATTTTAAAATGTAAAAGACTATTAACATTTTTTTAAAGTTAACAAAACATATTGACTCCCTGGGATCACTTGTTGATGAAAAGTGAGATAGATATGCAATATCTATCTATCATTCTATCTATCTGTCATCTATCTATCTATCTATTGTTACATTGAAGATGCTTGCCAATTACTCCAGACTCAAAATCTCAAGATCCAGGAGAGAGCTCTGTTCTTTGAAGACAGTCATCCCTGCCGAGATTATTTTATTTCCCCATCAGAGCTGCACTGATCTTCGTTTCTTCTCTAGTACAGTTTCAGCAGGAACTCTATTACCAATGCAGAAGCCCACTGAGTAAACTATGGAAAGGAACTAGCAGCATCAGACCAATGGAAGAGCTGCACCGGAAGAGTGAATAACAAAGCTTGCTCTCCATCACAATAAATCATCTAAAACTCAGGCAAGGAGGGGAAAAACAAGGAAAAAATATTCTTATGGCATTTAGAAGACTAAAACTGTTTAACTGTTTTTAATTGTCCTTTTTAACTGGCTTGTTTTATTGTACATTTTAATTAAGGGTGTTTAAATGCTTTGGTGGAATTGTTATTGTGTGCAGATTGTACTTTAAGAACAACAATTTAAAATGTTTATTTGGAAAATGCAGCAAATTTTCCCCAATTAAACTAAATTAAACATAAGTCAGTGCCAATCTTTCCTTTCCCCGCACATCAGAGTACACCATGCCTTTGTTAAGATACGTTTTCTGAGACAGAAGTATGCCTATGTCTTTCTTCAACAGTACAACTGGTTCATCTGTTGCACATAGGGGCTGCCAAGGAGCAACAGTCTACTGTCCCAGACAGAACGTCCTTCTTCCTTCTCCTTTAGCACACACATGAGCAATAAGGAAGGATGGAAGCTCTGTTTTGGGAGTGGTGCAAATGAAGGCAGGGTACCAAATACCTCTATAATACTGCAAAGCGATCTAATGGACAACAAGAAGATCCATTTCTATTGTACAGTCTTTGTATTTTATTGTAACATTTATATATGTTATATAATTGTCTTTTGTATATGTACCCACACATCTTCCCCTTATCACATAATGTAAAGGGATTATGGCACTTCAAAAACGAAAACAAAATCCAATACAGTGGTACCTCTGGTTGCGAACGGGATCCGTTCCGGAGGCCCGTTCGCAACCTGAAAAGAACGCAACCTGTGCCTGCGTGGGTCGCAATTCACCACTTCTGCGCATGATGTCATTTTGTGCATCTGTGCATGCGCAAGTGGCGAAACCTGGAGGTAACTCTTTCTGGTACTTCAGGGTTGCTGTGGGACGCAACCTGAAAAAAAGTATGATGAAGCAATCGCAACACGAGGTATGACTGTACTATCCGTTTCTTTTGACATTGAATTCTTATGTCCCAGAAATCTCATTACCTTTTTCATTCCATGGCCCCACTGTTTAGAAGTGCATGTTCTTTCTACCACTTATAAACATTTTACAGTAGTAATAATAGTATGAGAAATCAGCTCCTCTGGTACAATGATAGTATGATTAAGATATCATAGAATCATAGAATTGTAGCATTGGAAGACTCTGAGGGTCATCTAGTCCAACCCCCTGCAATGCAGGAATCTCAGCTAAAGCATCCATGACAGATGACCATCCAACCTCTGCTTAAAAACCGCCCAGGAAGAAGAGTCCACCACTTCTCGTGGGAGCCTGTTCCACTGCTGAACAGCTCTTACTGCCAGAAAGTTTTTCCTGATGTTCAGTCGGAAAATCCTTTCTTGTAACTTGAATCCATTCATTCGGGAATCTTTAACCCACCTTTCTACTTTATTTTTTACAACACTCAAGGTGGCATGATGTGAAGGAAATTTGTACACCTTTGAAGAGTCATTTATTTGATCCTTCATGAATGCACAAGCTTTTCAGCTGCACATATAATTTCACTCTTTTTAATTATGCAATTTTGCAGATGAGCAAGGTCAGGCTTCGACAGTGATTACCATAGCATTTTGCAAAGCATACTTTTGCAAAGTAAGGCAAATTATTTGTAAAGTAAAGCAAATTATTATCAAAAGAGTTGAGAGCTGTTGAGTACACAGTTTGCCATAAAGAATCTAAACAAGGCCAAAATGTTTAATTGAGTACATTGTGGTGGCAAAGTGAGAGGCACAGAGTCTAATAGTGTAAACCTATATCAGCTTAATGGGTAATAAACTGTATCGAATTCAACATGGCTTCCTTTTGCACAGATATGTACAGGATTGTGTTGTAGTATCATGTTTTCTTGTTCTGTATAGATTTCAAGAGCATTTTGTATGTGTGTTTGATTATGTGCATTAGCAGTACTAAGCAAATTTACCAGGATGTAAGTTACACTGCACATAGGCTAAAATTACATGTCCCCAGGAGATCCTTCAGTTTCATCCATGAGTGAGGCATAGGCCCATAGACATACCCTGCCCCAATGAGCCTGGGCATGGGGGATCTTCATCAGACATCAGACAGGAAGGTATAAAGATTTTTTTAATGGACATGCAGGCAAAAGGAAGAAGGGGCTGTCAAGTTGGCTCTTTCCCCCATTGGCCACTTTGGGGTTCAAAATCATTCCTTTGTCCCCAAGTTGCTTTACCAACAATGGGGAAAGAAAGTACCAGGACTTTGAATTAATTAATGGATAAACACAGAGAATTTTTCAAGATGCTGTACCCACAATGCATAGGGTCACAATGCAGTAAACATTAAAATTGGAGGAAAAGGAGAAAGGAAGAGGGAAACAAGCAACTTGGGATTCCAAATTGCAATACTGAGTTATAAAATGCCAGTATGGTCAATGGGAGCTGTACTCCACCAGCATAAGGGCAACCACAAGTTGCCAACTCCTGTGCTCTTCCACTGTATTTTATTCCATCAAGACTTCATAGAGTTTCCTTCATGGTATGTTTTTATGCTGCTGCTATCTTTAAGTAGTTCTTAACAACATTTCTGTGATTTACTGACACCAATTGTTTTATGATTGTGTGTTTTCACGTCTGCTGTGAGCCAGCATGAACGTTTCATTTCATAGAAAGGTGGAATATAAGGATAGAGAAAGGAAAGATTGAGAGAATTCAAATCAGCACCATATTCAAGGATGTGTTCCTACAGAGATGTATGCATTCCTCTCAAATCAACCAGTTATTGAATGTTTCTTTTGGAGAAAAAAGGAGAATTGGAAGCTGCCTTTTCCTGACTCCACTAGTCCATCTAGCTCAGGATTGCCCACTCTGACTGGTAACACTTTTCCAGGGTATCAAGCAAGAGTTTCTCCCAATCCTACTTGGAAACACATCAGGGATTGAACTTGGGACCACTGCATGCAAGATAGATGCTTTGTCACCGAGTTCCACTGCTTTCTCAAGACATTTAATATTAAATCAATAAAACACAAGTCAAAATTTCAATTTATTGTTAAAAATATATTACTTTAAAAAACGAGCTGCTGGAAGTATGCATGGGATATTATGTAAGGAATACTAGTCCTCTCCACTTCCCTTTCAACAGTAGATCCGATTCTGAGAAAAGCAAATGATCAGTTTGTGTATGGAGATGCCACCAAATTTCAGATAAGATGGAATGTGGTGGTAGATTGTCAGATCAACCCTGGAGAATGAGAAACCAAATTTACCACATTAGGGCTAACACAAGAGACCTATACATAGTTTTGAGTGGAGGTACATTGATGTGAGTCAATTATATCATCCAATACAACAAGGGCAGAAGCTCTTGGTAATTCCAGGTTCTGACTATAGTTCTGGAATTATTTATACACTCAACTTGGAAGTTTATCTGGAAATTCAGGAAATGAAATTCTCATCAAATTCATTTGTGCAGAACCACATTGTTCCATTCATTCCAATAGGTGTCCCAACTTGTGAATTGCCTTGGCTTCATTGTAAACAAAGATAATCTATTTAATTTTCATTTAGACACATCTTTGGCTTTAAGGCTTCTTGTACTTGGCCTGACCTTATCAAATGACCTACCTTCCTCCTTTCCAGTAACTTGAGGGTATTCATTGCCCGTAGGCATTGTCTCAGCTCTACACGGGGCTAAGCTGTGGCAGATCTGGCTTTCTTTCAGCATTTTAATAGTATCTATTGCAAAACCTTGCGTTTTTCTTTTATATAGCTAGAGGGCCTGTCAGGCTGATGAGTGTTTGCTACATTTTAGGCTCTTAACTAGATTTCTCTTGCATGTTTTACCATTTACCTCTGCTGCTAACTTCTCTTAGGTTCATATAATGTGTCCCTTTAGGGGATCTCAAGTGCTCTATTTTAATGGCTTGAGTCCAATGAGCAGAACCCATGTGGATTTATAAATTATAGTACAACTATAAAATACCATAAATGGCTGAGCAGGACTAATCCTTTGTGGTCAGGTGGGAACACTTCTGCTCTTGTTCCTGCAGTAAGAGGTTATTGCTAGAGGGTGTTTTTTAAAAAAGGAAAGTCCACACTAAAAACACTTAAATAAGATATAAGAAGAAGAAGAGAGTTTGGATTTGATATCCCGCTTTATCACTACCCGAAGGAGTCTCAAAGCGGCTAACATTCTCCTTTCCATTCCTCCCCCGCAACAAACACTCTGTGAGGTGAGTGGGGCTGAGAGACTTCAAAGAGGTGTGACTGGCCCAAGGTCACCCAGCAGCTGCATGTGGACGAGCAGAGATGCGAACCCGGTTCACCAGATTACGAGTCTACCGCTCTTAACCACTACACCACACTATAAATTTATATGGACATTTCAACAACTTTAAACCCATAGAATCAGAGTTTTAAGAACTCCCCTTCATGTTTATATCAAGTGAAAGGGGACTCTGGCCCTGAAGGTGCTGGAGATGATGGGAGATGATGGGTTTGGAATGCCTTCTAGTGACAACGTGTCAGCCAGCTGCTACTCCAGCTCTGCCTGCTCCTCCTCTCCCATTATTTCCCAACATTCCCCCCTCATTTGCCTCTGAGCTGTGACCTCCCGCAAACCACTGTTGTAAATCTTTACTGTCTTCGTCTTCCTCCTCCCTGGAAGGGTTAGGATGGGGAGGTGGTCTCCACCACTCCTCCTCTAACCAGCCCCTGACAGTCCCATATATTGTGTGGCTTTCCTGGCTCTGTTCCAAATATCCATGTTTTGCATGCAGGTGTCTGGTGTTGAGAACCTTATGTGCACCATTCTGTTGCGTAAACCTGACCTCCAGATATGGATAATTCCAGATTGCCCAGAGATCAACAGTACATGCATTTGGGCTGAATGGAATTGGGCTGATTTGTGCCCAATTTGTGCCCACAGTGGGGATTTGTGCCCATTTGTGCCCACAGAGTGGATCGGGTTGTCCCCAATTGATCTGTAGTGATTTGTAGTTCCAAACAGTCTCTCAGAAAGCCAGAGAGACAGTCTCCAAAATGTTGTGATAATTAACTACAACACTGTATAAGAAGAAAACCAGAATGTGGAAAGGAGAGGAGCTACAGGAGGCGTAGAATGATCTCACTCCACCCAACATTTTCAAATTGTGGTGTTTGCAGGGGTGAAGTCTTAAACGGCTTTTTAAACGCTGTCTCTTAGCAAGTGTTTGGTGGAATTGGCTGCCATTTGTTCAACTTCTCTTTGTTTTCTATCCTTTCCCAACCAATCCCAGTTTCATTCACATTTTTATTTATTTTTAACAAAATGTATTTATCTTAGCATTCACCCACCTCCAATTGTTGCTCTATCAAGCAGTATATAAATTTTATGAAATAAATGAAAACAAATACTTTAAAAGGGAGGGGGCTGCCTTAGCTATACTAGAATATAGCCTCTCACAATAATGCTTTGTTTGGGACTTTAGAATTCTTTTAAAATACAGTATTTCTCTTCCATTTACCCCTTTTTTCTATCTTAATGTGTGGAAATTTGGAAGTTTATTTCCTAATGGATTTGTTGTCCCAATTCGATACAGTGGTACCTCGGGTTACAGACGCTTCAGGTTACAGACGCTTCAGGTTACAGACTCTGCTAACCCAGAAATAGTACCTCGGGTTAAGAACTTTGCTTCAGGTTGAGAACAGAAATTGCGCAGCAGCGGTGCAGCAGCGGTGGGAGGCCCCATTAGCTAAAGTGGTACCTCAGGTTAAGAACAGTTTCAGGTTAAGAACGGACCTCCTGAACAAATTAAGTTCTTAACCCGAGGTACCACTGTATATATTCCAGGATTCAGTAGTTCCAGTGTACTTCCCCTAAATCACTGGGTTGCTGAGAATGGCTTTGGCAAATTTTGCTCCATATGAGATCTAAATAATTTTAACTAAAGCAAACAAAGCAAAATAACCTCCATATGGTTGACCCTGAGCTCATTCAAGGAAGCAAGGAACACAAATGTGAGAAATAAATGATCTCTAGTGATGCACAACTCAGTTTATAATGAGCAAGTGAGTAGCAATGTAATGTGTATGACCTTTTTCTAGGGGGAACTATCTGCTGAATATTCTATATGAGAGCTCAAAAACAGCTGCTCTCCATGTTGTGTCAGCAATGCAAGAATAGCTCAATGTGTTTCAATGGTGAGGAAGTCCTTCCATTAGTACACATTGCACACTTCTGCTGCCTTTGTAAGTGTCTTGTCTGTGAGCCCTTTGATGATGGGGGTGATTTTGCTATCTTCCCCACTGCTGCCACTCTAAAGGATGGAAATATTATTTGATGTCCTAGCACAATTCCAAGATTCATTCTCAAATTACATGTAGTGGTTACTTTCAACACCATCCTTGGTGGCTTCTGCATGGTGACAAAAATATATATAAAAGAGGAATTGTTATTAATCAAGTTGGATACCCGTAGCACTCTCCAACATTTCACCAATGAAAATATGGGATTAATAGGAACATAATCCAGACTAAAAAGGAAATGATCATCTGCACCTGATTACAAACAGCCAAAGCAAATGAGGCAAGCCAGAGATTACCATGCACATCAAATAGCCATTTTATACATACAAGATGTTCTGAAGGCACCCACAATTTGGTTCAATTTGGTTCTTTTGCAGGGGGAGGGACTGGATAACCCTTGGGATCCCTTATTTCCATTTAGTTCATTTTATATCTTCAGAGGATCCCAACTGGGTCATGGTCCCAGCACTCCTGTGGGCAAATTAACGAGACCTAAGGAGTGCCTGATAGATGCCATGCTCTCAAAATATTGCTCTGTCATGAACCAATGACCCATAGAACACCGTCTGTCTGCCTCCTACACACCCACCCATCTTTATCCATTAGAAACAGGGCTCAATCATTTCAAATCTGCATCAGTTCTTTCAAAATGGCAGCTTGTCTCTCATAATCCCTGGGTCAGGGGATGTGGTGGCAGCAGCAGCAAGGTCTTCCTCTTTTCTTTCTTTCCCATATTACTTCCTCATCTTCCTTCACTTTCACAGAACACTCTATCCTTTTCTTCTCCCATGATTCCCTCTTTGCAACCTCCCAGGGAAACAATCTTAAAAGTCATAGTCAAACTTGCAAGGCTTAATTAGAAAGGAAAGTTGAATATACAGAGAATGATCTGAATTATGCTCCCATAATCTGATTTCTTCTTACCTTATATAATATTTCTGCTTTGTTTTCTTCTGCAGTTTAATATTCTGGTATTGCTTGGGTCAGACTGACACTTAGGAGTAAACAAAGTGAAAATATAATGAGTCCTGAGAGGCAGTGAGGGCTGCTGCTGCTGCGGTTCTCTTCATGTACTCCCCCAAACCAGTTAGTTATTTAAAATAAAAACACAAAGGCTGCTGTGCATGCACTCTCTCTCTTTCACACACACACACACACACACACACACACACACAAACTTACTTTCTACTCTTTTTCATGTCCATGTACTTTCTCACAAAAAAGTAACATTCCATTTTTAAAAAATGATTTGGCATGCCTAGAAGTACATGTTCCCACATACCATGGCTATCAGATCCTGTAACACTTTTAGCACTTGCTGCAAGGAGAAATGGACTTTACCCAACAACATTATACAAAGGGGAGGGGGGACATACCTTTGGGGTTTTGTTTAGGAACAAGAAAATCCATGGATGATTCATAAGATCTCCTTGGCCTCATTTTTTTCCCTTGGCAATCTCTACTATCTTTGTTTTCCTCTACCTATTTTTCCCAACAAAAAAAGTATGAGAACAGAATGTTTTGAGAAAGCATCCTGCTCTTTACCTCTCTAACCCCTGAAGCTGAAGGAGAGAATAGAAAACAAAAAAGAAATGTAACGTTGTGCCATTGTTGTTTCCTATCATTTTGTCTACTTCAGTGTATGTGCCTAACAACACAATGCACAAAACTGAAAAGAAAAGAGAAAAGAAAAGAAAAAGAAGCTTAATATTCCATTCAAGCACTTGTAGTGCATCTTGAAAGTACTCCAGAGCTAAAAAAGAAAAAGCATCAAGATTTCATCGTAAGAGGCTCCTTGTTTACAAAATTGCCAGGAACTTTCACGTTCCCAGACTTTATAGCTAAGAAGCACTCTTCATTGCTGTCATTTCTCTGGGTGGCTTCTTTGGGTCATGTTACAATGCACAGAACAATCATACAGCACAGTCCTATACATTGCAACTCAGAAGTTCAAAACTCAGTGCCTTGGGCTTCAGTGTTAAAACACACTTACTAGAAGAGCAGAGAGTAAGCAAAACTCCTTCCAAGTAAACATGCCAATGATTGTGCTATTGGGTTTTTAAAAAGCATATCTATTCCACCTTTCCAAAACCTTAATGTGGTCTAAAAATAATAATACCTGCATTGTAATTCTGCTAGTCTTGCAAGACCTCGCTCCTTGCTTGTCTGCTCCCTTCCACCTGACCTGCGAAGACCTTGACTGTCTCCAGCTACAAAGGCTACTTCTGCTGTCTAGGATATCTAGAGACAATCGGGGTGGGCTATTGATTGGGGTTTTTCCTGGGACAAGATTTACTTCAGGAAATGTAATATTTTTGCTGTTAATCTGAGTAATGTGATTGTCAGACCTTATTATGAATATTCAGTGGATTTGTTAGTGTCGACCGTATTATGAATATTCAGTGGATTGTTTAATTTCACTGTAACTTTGTTAGTGTGAGATATTTTCATTAGTTCATTGTTTATGTGACTACTTAAATTCCATTATATCTTGTAACTGTTACAGAATTGTGTAAAATGTTATGACATTGTGAGACCTCTTGGAACATGGTTTATTGTGGAAAGGTAGCATGTAAATTGATGGTGGTGAATATATATTGCAACAAAGGAACAAACTCATTCCCAGCTCCCCCACCTGCTACCTCCCAAAGCTTACCAAAAAGTTCCTAGCAGTTCTCAAAACTGTTTGGATTTCATACTGAATTTTGAAATGCCCTGGCAACAGTAGAGGTGGGTGAGTGAGCACATAAACATTAGCTGTTACCTTCTTAAAGTTCAACAATGCTGCAGTGGTATGACATTTGTGAATAGGCAAGAATGATCCAGAGATTTTGGACTTTACTTTAGGAGTTCATTACTTGCTTTTTGCTGTAATGGTTTTTATCCTCCAATGCCCGCTCCAGTGCCTGAGTTGTAAAGATCCTGAACTTCTGCATGAAGGGCAATTATGGGGTTTCCTCCCTACATCTCTGGTCAGAAGCTTCATGAAAATAAACCAAAATGCTATGATCACTTTGACACAGCCTTAAATGTAAATGGACATGCCTCATCTTACCTCTCCCCACCGCCGCCCGCCAAATGCAGCCATGACGCCAAACCCTCATTGCTTGTTTACTAAAAGAGCCTGCTAAATATAATTTCGTACCGTTATGCATTGATTGCCACATTCTATTTCTAGAAGATTGCTGTACTAACCATGCCACATATCACTGTTTCCATCAAGCACTTAGGGATTTAGAAACTGCAAACTCTAAAGAGGTAGAATGTAAACATTCACCATCGCTGTCATTATAAAACTCCCAGTGCTGTTCACACTTGATGAATCACTTTTTGCAGATAAATACCGGGCATGTTTGCTGCTAGCTATGATGATTAAAAGTGTTGCTTTCTTCAGTTATACTCCCTCTGCAGAAACAGCGACAACACCCCAAAACAAAACTAGATCTTTCAAAAACTCTATTAAGCAAGAATTCAAACACATCTTATCTTTTCTTGGTGAGTTAATGAGGCACCATTTTGTTATGTCCACATAACAGATTCATATCATCTGAATTGACGACAATACCATGGTCAGATTTTAGGCAAGACCTTCATTCTATTTGCAGCTTTTCTTTATTAAATCTGACCTTTGGAGGTCCAGGTCTATCAAGTACCAAACAAGTGGTGCCAGGGCCCCATGAAAGCAATCTAGAGAGCCACCTTGTCAGATGCCATGCAGTCAGTACAGATGGGCAAACTCCCCTCAGCTCACCCTAAGAATCTTTGTTTCAAAAAAGATAAAGCTTTCTGAGTAAATGCTTTCTTAAAAACCACAATATTTAGAGACTTTCATAAGAAAGCTAAAAGAAACCCCACAAATAGATAAGGAACCACTTCGCTCTTCTGCCAGGTACACAAATCCCTTCACAGTCCTGAAAGGAAAGAGTAACCTGCATGGGGATCACTTGTGAGAGCTAGGAAAGTCCCTTCACCTGTCTCCTGTATTAAAGGGAAATAAAGCTTTGTGCATTGTGAGGCTTTGTGCTGCTTCCTATCAGCAGCAAAACTATTTGCCCAGGGCATGGTTGTGGCCTCTGCTGCAGAGAAGGCCCCCACCCAGTGCTTCTGGGAAGCCCATCCAGATGGGCAGGGTATAAATAAATTATTATTACTCCTTTCCTCTGGCAGAAACTGGCACAGAGATGAATATGCACCATCCAGTGCAGGCTGGTCCATTAAGGTGAATGAGACACCGCCCACCAAACTTTGTTCTCAGCCAGCCCCACTTTCCTGCCTTCTTACTTAATAACAAATCCAGAGAGCTAAGATGCTTTTCAGTTTCTTCCTCCCCAGTCTCAGTGTTGCTTTTGTATACATCAACAGAGAGGAAGATGGGGAGGGGAACATACACACCAGTTCCCAGGGGCCAAGGCAATTGGGGGGGGCTGGTTCCTTGCAAGTCACATGCATCATTTCAGGATGTCACATCAGTCCCCCTCAATCAACTTGAGAAGACAGAATCTTGGGGGGGGGAGAGACGGACAACTAGAATTAGTTGTTTTTACCTGTAATCTGTCAATCTGATACCAACAGGCACCAGTTTCCACAGACACCATCCTCATCTGCCGAAGCAACAACATGGTGAGGACAGGTAGGAATGCAGCCTTTGAGTTTATGGAAAGTACTTCCCTTAGAAAAGAAGACTTTGTTTAGGTGATGCTTGAGATAAAATGTTAATACAGAATAATTAATTTCCTCTTTCACAAAGAATCTTAATAAAGTTTTAAAGACAAGCAATAAGAAGCGAAAGAGAATTTCCCACAGAGAACATTTCATCTCTAGTGGCCTTTCAAAGGTTATTGGTAGCTTAGCTGTTCAAAATGCGCACAACTGCATAAATGGCAAAGTGAAATTGAGTCAGACAGGCAACAATAATATTTAGCAAATTATTGGTAATATGAACTGGTTTTATTTCGCCTGCTTGAGAAAATGGAACTGCTGATGCAAACATCATTCGCAAATTAAAAACTCAAAGGGGGAAATTAGTGATGGAATAAGTGTTCGATAAAATGTCTTGTGGAAAGAAGCAATTTACAGCGTATTATGGGCAGCTTCCCATATGACATTTCCCTTTCCCAGAAACCCCCACCCTCTACCCCATCCACACTAATTACACACCTGTATTGTGGCAATGTGCATATTTCTTAGCCAAAGGGGAAATGTTGCATGTTGCATGCAAAGATGCAAAGGCTTGGGACTTGGAAGTCACTCACATTCCTATTCCCTCTTGGATCTTTGTTTCTTGGGTTCGGGACTTCCATGCCCCATCTCCTGCCACACATCACCTTCATATCATTTACAGCTCCTCTCATGATGAGTTGGAAGGCAAAGATCTGATTATGCGGGGGACTAAGTCACACAGGGAGCCTGCAGCTGGACAAAAGATGCCCATTTGCCACACTTCAAAGCTTCACCCTCAAGCGACAGAGGGCTGTAGACTGGACGAAAGCTGGGCAGGGCTTTGAGACTTCCCTATATAAGTCTCAGGTTTATATAGCCAAATGTTTTATTTGTTATTATATAAAAATGATGTTATGCTGGTAAATATTTGTAAAAACCAATAAAAATTAGAAAGAAAGAAAGAAAGAAAGAAAGAAAGAAAGAAAGAAAGAAAGAAAGAAAGAAAGAAAAGAAAGAAAGCTGGGCAGGGCAGGACTTCTCCTTGTTTCAGCCTTGAGCATCTCATGTCATCGGTTTATTTGTATGCTTCTCCACAAATTTGTGCCCAAAGTGGCTCACAACGTATCAAATGAACAATAATAGGCCTGCTTTCTGAAGAAATTGCTGTCCTGCTCAGCAGAATGGAATTTGTTAAAATTTACTCTGTCCTTCAACCAAACATGGTTTCTAAAAGCTGCAAAAGGCAACAGGAATTGGAAACAATGAAAATGAAACAGAAAGGAGGGAGAAGTACTTACCACCAAAAGAACACCACAGACTTCCCCCAGCACCCAGGAAATAACAGCGGTGGTACCTAGGAATGTGATTCCATAACCAGAGCAAAACTGCAGAAAACACTCTTAACTCCTGTAAGCATGTTTCTAACCTCCAAAGAGAGGGCATCGACTCCAGTAAAACTATAGGCTGCGTTCTTATGTATGCTTATCTCTAAGTAAGCCACAAGTCCTATGCACACTTGCATAGAAATCTATATTTAATTAACTTCCCATTAAACATGGGAAACTACATATGTTGGCCATTTGTTTGGAATGTCAAGTTAATACACAATGTTCAAGGAAAACATTGTAAGTTTTAACCAGGTGGTGGAGGAGATATCTTTATAAGCGGACTTCAGTTCTTTTTGAGACATGGTTAGATTCCACTTATGATAAAGGCACAGCTTGGATTTATAACCTACCATAAAATTATACTAGAGACTAAATGGATATTCATTACCACAGGACACTCAGTAATTTATTATGGAATCTTGAAGAATATGTTTGGATTTCCAGGCCATCCACCATCAACATCATACATACATGTCATTGTGATGCCACAAGCTCTTTCTGTATCTTGAAATAAAGAAGGATTCTGTGAAATTACAGACACTTGGTGGTAACCACAGACTACATTCTTAGGAACTTGATGGTGTTGTGACATCAGTGTTAAAGAGCACTGGGGGAGGGGACTTTAAGAGCAGAGAAGCAGCAGGAGGGGGGAGGGGAAATTCTTAACTCTTATTTCAGGGGCTGCTCTTTTGCTTAAAATTATTCTCCCACTGTTATTTTTCCTTTCCATGAGATATCAGTTGCACATCTGCAGGGCAAATGAGGACCAGTACAGAAGCTGGTTTGTTCCTTAGGGAAATGCTTTATGACTGCCTTCTGTTAATTTCCTTTATTGCTAATTTAAATGAGTAATGACAAAGTAGATGTTTCCCATTCTCTAGCTCAAACTATTCATTTCAATCAGTGGTTAAGAGGGATTTAATTTCAGATGTTTCATTAATCCATTCAGAGTAGAATGGTTTGATTTGATTATTTTTTTTTAATCTACAAGGATTACATTGTAACAATCCATGGGGATAGAGTGAAAGCATGCACTGTTACACTGCAGAGTAGTCATGTGCAGTGTGTTAAAAGTGACCATTAAGTTCATGAAGCAAGGTAGGGTTTTCCCATGTAGCCAGTCAAGGAACATTCCTAATTCACTTCTATTGTGAGGAAAGGGTTCTCATATGCACTGAGCATCCCCCAGCATTGTAGCAACCACTCAGAGCTCAATGAACAGTACAATGGAGACCTGTATGTGCAGTGGACCCAATGACTAGTCTGCAGGGGGAAATGTTATGAAAACTACTGTGAATCAAATGATGATATTCAACTAAGTTTTACACAGAGCAGACCCACTGAAATTCATACACTAAGTAAAACTTGGTTGACTACCACCCAAAGTGTCTTATTTGTTGTGTTGTTATCTTCTCTGACAGGATACACATCAACTTCTGGACAAATACAGTTGTGAAACATGACTTCTATAGCTGATCTCTAACATTATTATAATTCTGCTCTAGTGAATTCAAGGAGTTTGGCTTCTCATCAAACCAGACACTGAAATAAAAACAGGTATACACAAAGGGGAATATTCATCTGTCAGTATTTTGAAGAAACCCTTTGGTCATATGTCAACAAGTAGTTTAAGTTTCATCCTGTGCTCTCATATTTCAAAGCTTCCTCATCTTGTTGAACTATAAGAATATCCTTCAGCCATCTTAACTGTAATTGCAGGAAAGAGGAGCCAGTTAATTGATTGCCTTTAAACAATTAGTACATTCCTATATTTTTTTATTCCTGTTACAACTTACATTAATTATTGAAATATTAAAGATGGCATGCCATAATCAAATGTTAATTTTAGCACCTGCGGAGATTGACATTTTAAATTAAATTGAAGGGCAAGGAGAATTTGCTCAAAAACAATCTGATCACAACTACAGACATCAAATTTACAGTTCCATAATTTTAAGCTAAGATTTGGGACTAGTGTTTCTTTCTTGTTGGTCCTATGGGAGAGAGGTTAAAAATAATAAAGCTTTCTTCAGCTATGTTTGAAGTAAGAGGAAGAACAAGCAAATAGTAGGTCCTCTGCATGGAGAAGATGAAGAACTGCTATTGCTGACAAAAGGCAGAACTGCTTAACACCTACTTTGCCTCTGTCTTCACCCAAAAGGAAACCTGTGTCCAACCTAGTGATAACAGAATAAATGATGCAAAGAGGGAGCTGAAGCCCAAGACGGGAAAAGAGGAACACCTTGCTGGTACGTTGATTGTCTTAGAGCAGGTATAGAGAACCTCCAGTTCCTTGCAAGCTGGGATTGGTTCCATTCAGGAGGCCCCAATGAGAGTTCCCTAGCAAAACCACTCCCTGCTGAATTCAAGTCCCATTGGAATCAGTTCCACTCAGAAGCTCTGATAAAAGACAGCGTAACTGAAGCAAGCATGAGGCATGCTGGCAAGTCACTTTTCCTTTGTATTGACTCTGCTGCACATTCTTCAATCAAGCAGAGGTTCTATGACAGCAAAGTGCAGGAAAGCACATTTTATCATCATATATCTGTTAGGACTTTCAGGTATTTCACTGGCCACTTTTGGCAGCTGCTGGGATCCACAAGGAACCTACCTATATTTTCACGAGCAAAGTAACATGTCAGCCTGAAGGATATTTTGGGCTCCAGTAAGAGGTTTCTTCATTATCCATTTACAATTTCTCTCTGCACAATCTTGCACATTTGCTATAAAACTTTAAACTTGCAAATACATGAAAAACTGATGAGCTTTTCCCATCTTTTCTTTCCACCTTAGTTTGTGGCAATGTAAAAAGAAAAAAAGCCATTTAGGTCAACATACTGTATCCTAGATATTGTGCAATACTTTGAGCATTAAGACAGCAAAAAAATCAATATGGTTTATACTGCAAGAAATCAAAAAGGGGCAATATCTTTCCAAGAATAGAATTCTCTGATGGACAAATTTTCCTTGCAGCTGCCCATCTGTTTGTGTAAAAGCCCATTATTTTTAGTTGTTCAGAAATGATAAAAGCCACCTCTGTATTTTTCCGCTGGCTGTATGTCTTCCTCTTGTCCAAAGACTCAACTTACAGACTGGCATTGCTAGCTAACCATCCAGGGATTGTAGAGTAAGGGGTCTAATTTGAATGAACATCCTGAGATTCTAAATGACATAATGCTCTCACAGACATATACATTCAAAGTTTCACAGAACACTCTGTTGTAAATCACTTCATAAAAAATTCAAATAACGGAGTGATAGATTTCTTCCTGATAATAATAATAATAGGAAAATTAGTTGAGTCTTGGCTAAGCAGCTAAATGTTCTTTAAGTTGATAGAGCTGGAAGTTTTTCTACTAGTGCCTAGGAGTCACTTCTCTCTTTATGGGGATGTTGACAAGTTGGAACATTTCAGAGGAGGGAAATTGAGATGATCAAGAGTCTAGAAACCAAGCTTTATGAGGAATGGTGAATGAAGCTAGGTGTGTTTAGCCTGGAAAAGAGGAGACTGATAGGAGATACGATAGCCATCTTCAAATATCTCAAGGACTGTCACATGGAAGAGGGAAGAAGCTTGTTTTCTCCTGCTCTGGAGGGTAGAACTCGAACCAATGGTTACAAGAAAGGAGATTCCAACTAAACATCAGGAAGAACTTTCTAGTGGTAAGAGATGTTTGACAATGGAACAGTCCCCCTTGGGAGGTTGTGGACTCTCCTTCATTGGAGATTTTAAAGCAGAGTTTGGATGGCCATCTGTCATGGATGCTTTAGCTGAGATTCCTGCATTGCAGGGAGTTGGAAGGGGGTTCCTTCCAACTTTACAATTCTGTGATTCTATTGCAACCCCACATGGCTGGGGCTGTGTCTGATTATGAAAACTACAAGAGCAGGGCCGATTGCAGGAGGCCTTTCCACAGAATTAGCACCCTGTTTCCCAGTGGTGTGCTGATTCTGTGAGAGAGACACAAGGAATCTGTCCTACCCCCATAGTTATTCATACCTCCCAACTGTAGGACATCCTGGCTTCTGTTTGTATCCCAGAATGTCCCATTTTTTGGTTCAGAGCTCTGGCACGAGTTCTTGTGACAGAGCACTGGACCAAAAGACGCCTGCTCTGCTCATCAGCAGGGTTGCCCCAGAGTGCCTTCCATATGCTTCTGACTCACAGCAGAGCCCTAAGCATCACTGATAGATGAGTTGATGGGCTCTGGAGGGCTCTAGGGTTCTGGAGCTGGAGCTGGACAGTAGGCCAAGCCCTCTTCGCCTCCATAAGCTAGGTTTGAAATGTGGTCATAACCTGACATCACAATGGTGCCAGGTGACTTGTTTTCACCCATGTGCTGCATGGTGCTTTGAAGTCCCAATTATCAATCAATTGCAGGTTTTCAAAGCAATGCAGGGCTCCCTGCAAGGACCGACAACCAGCTGATTGTTGGTGCTTCCAGAGAGCCTTGTGCAGCACTTTGAAGCCCTGCAACCAGCTGAAAGTCAGGGTTTCAAAGCTTTCTTGACCCTGCTATGACTTTACCTTCCCTACACCTGAATATAGAATAAAGGATAAAGTTATTCCTACTCAGAGTGACTAAAGGCCACATAGGATGTCAGAGCTCCCCACAGCTGATATCATATATGATCCCAGGTGTGGGGTAAGTGGGTGTGGCTTGACCAGAATTGTGTCACAGACCAAATGAGAAGGCCTGCAAGTCAGATGTTCTCCACTTCTGCTGTAATCAAAGTTCAAAGGGGAAGAGCAATGCTTTGCATACAGAGAGTCCCAAGGTCAACCCATGGGAATCTCTAAGAAGGGATGGATAATGACTCCTGTCTGAAACCCTATAAAGCTGCTACTGGTGGTCACCATAGCTGACACTTATCTAAGTGGTACAATGGTCTGACTTAGTATATGGCAACTTTCTGCTGTAAATAAAGGCAAAAAATTATGTCATTCATGCAAGCAGGCTGCCGCATAGGAAAAGATGGACTAATCTTGTAAACATTAAAAAGTGTGCACTATACATTTTATCAAAGACTTACTGCATTTCAAATGCTAATAATATCAGCAGAGAAAAGGGATTTTGCAGATTTTAAGTACCAAGTTAAAGCAAAGCAGCTGGTAGGCTTTTTGTTTTATTTTTTTTAAAAAATACCCCAAGGCAATATATTAAGCTTTTAAGAATAGTGGGCTCTGTCTTGTCTTGGCATATAGAGGTAATTGGGCAAATATTTGTAGAGAAAAGGCATTAACAGTGTCAAAAATGATGACATTCTGAAATACAGAAAAGAAAGCTAAGCTGCATAGCTCAGAACAGCGGCAAGCTCACTTAATATGTTGTGCTGATGGTGGTCACTTCCAATTATGCTGATGAGCTAAATAAAAGCTAAATTTAAACAAATACATTCATGCTGTGCCCTTTGCTGTTTGCTATCATAGGCTGATGTGATTTACAACTTCAGTACTTATCTGAGAACAGAATACATAGATCCAGTTGTACATTATGACCCTTGAGCTTTTGTTACACAATTAATTACTAGTTCATTGAAAACAATAAAGATAAGACCATCCCCAGTTGTTTTTTATTTTTTATTTTGAAGTTTAAGTTAAGGCCTAGTGCAAACAGTAGATTGAGTGGTTTGTGGTTTTGACTCAGACTTTGTTTTATTGCCTATAACAGTCAAAAGCTCATTACAGTCATGTAGAATTAACTCCTCATGGAAGACACTGTAGTAATTCCATTACATTTGAAACTTACTCCCCCCCCCCCAAAAAAAACACCTTTCAATTATTTTTCTGGCAAGAGAACTGTGAACCTTCTTTCCCTGGGTGCGCTTTGCATACAAAGGGCTCATGTTCTGTTGACTTTCAGTGGCATGATATTCTTGTAGCACCACCTCATAGCACACATTGCAAAACAAGAGCTTCCAGAACCTTTACTCTCAGGGCAAAGAGATGAGTTTTGCAGTTCATTAATAGTAGAAGTGGTGCCTTGTGCAGTCTGTGGAATAGACTAGACTAGAAACAGCCAAAACAGCTGGTTGCCATGAAACCCATCAAGCAAAGGCTTTGGCATGGCACTTAACTTTATTACTACTACAAGATGTCATCTGGTGTACAGAACATGTGTTTTAAGTCTTTAAAGGATACAGGTCTATGAATCTCTTCACGTGATATTCCTAGGAAAAGGAGCAGAAGTTAGACAAAACCATTCTATATTTTTCAGTATGCTCTTTGCTCTTTTCTTCAGGGAATTGCCTGCATCGCAAACTCATATTCTACCCCCACCTCACCTGCTAGGTTACAGAGTTTATGTTTCTGATCTGAAGACGAAAGGATGATGCAGGCCCATATCCATAATATTGTGGACATCCCCTTGTTTCTATTCCTCTCCATCCACAGTCTATGTGTCTTTCCATTTTGGGTATTCTCTCCAGCCTAAACAGTTCTTGTATGACCATTTCCACTGAGGCAGGCACATAGTGATCACCTGGCAGGTGCATCACCAGTGCCAGGGCTGGGCCCCTAAGGAGCCTGGGCATTGGCAGGAAGCTAGACCCTCAGGCAGAGAATAAATGGAGTGTTGCTACGTCTCTTGTCAGCCCAGTGGGTTGGAGAAGATCCAGCTGATTACTAAGGGAGTTAATGAGAAGTAAAGGTGCACAGAGCAAGACTGGTGAGGGGTGTGGTCTCGGCAGACAGAGAGGCCTTGGGCCTGAGGTTCCCCACCCTTGCTCTACCTCAAGAAGGCCCTCCATGAGAATCCATACTTTGTTAATCGTTGAAAAGTCTAATTTTAAAAGGTAAATAAAATCTATTTCTTTTTTAAACCCAGTCTGATAATCTTCTGCAGGGTACTCCCATTTGGACATAGACCTTCAGGTATTCACTTCAGTGGGGAGCACTGTTCCAGCCCCACATAATGTGTGGGAAGCTGGTCTTCCGTTGAAATGAAGGGACAGTCCAAACATTCATCAGCATATGGTCATTGGAGCAACATGGTGTTGGGTTCTGCATCAGATTTAATTTCAGAATCTCCTCCAGGAAACAAGTGAGCACTATGGACTAAATAAGGCAGGGAAAAGCGAATTGTGGAAGCTGGCCCATATGCAGCCATTTCAATACATTTTCTTCTACAGCTCTCGCTTTATGTAAGAAATGCTCTTTCCTAATACATACCCCTAGCTAGAAAATCACGATGCCACATTAGTAAAGCTTGCTTCAGTTTTTCTTGGGCCTGTTCCTCTGCTACCAACATATAATAGACTTTCAGTGACAATGAACTCTGCCACAGGCTGGCTGCCACTCTCCCACCTGGGACTCCTGCTGTGCTTGCATGGTGGTATTAAAAGGTTAAGCACTAATCAGCACTGCAAACAACTCCTTTGTGCTGGACTGGTACCATTCTCTGAGGATTTGGTGCAATACAAAAGCCTAGATTAAACGACACATTCTACTGTGCATCTGCTTTCCCTGAAACTTCTGCTTTCAACGCAAATGCAAGCTGAGTGTTGATGGCTCTTGCATACCAGTTAGAAAAGACAAAGCAGATGAGAGATTATCTGCAGATTTCTTGAATACACAGCACAAGATAGCTATTCTTCCTATAATCCATTTTTCAATAATATGCTTTCCTGTACAATGCTCATGTATATAGTGCTGTCATCATATGTAGCATTCTGTAAAGTTCCTTAAGCAAGTGGCAGCTTACGGCCAGAGCACCATGTCCCTAAATGACCCTGTAACCTACATTTTGACTGTGCGGGAGGCAACAGAGGGAGAGACAAAAGGAGATTGAAAGAACACGGACAAATGCAGTTACTTGTATTTATTGATTTATTTGTTATATACCACTTCATATTTCAATGGAATCGTTTAATGATTTACAAATCCCCCTCAAAATAAGAAATTCAAATTCCACATTCAACACCAAATACTACCACTACTATTACTACTACTACTAATGGCTTCACATTTCATGTATCAATGTACAGAAGTAAAATAAAAATCCATATACTAAACATCACAACACATCAAAATGCAACATCACTACAATGTATCATCATAAAAATGTCATAAATATTGCAAAATCGTTCACCTACACATTCACACTACACAAAATCTACACAATCCACATACACAGTCATTCAACAATCTCCTTACACCCACCATATCACTCCATCCACTAAGTTCTCACTTTGATAAAGCACTCAAACATTCAACTAACAGGAAAATAAGTCCACTAAATAAATACAAAAAGTCCAATAGCAGCATACAAACACCCGGACCCACACTAATTTCCTCCACATCTCTCACTTGAGGCAGTACGAATACCTTCTCCACTCATCTCACCTAGGGAGATGAAGTCCTTCCCCACAAGCAGCGTCTCATCCTATGGCCATAACCTACATGGCTCTTGGTTTCAAAAGAAAGTTTAGAAAGTAACAATAGTCTCAAAATTGCATCAGCACAGATGAATGCTTTCAGCCCATAAGAATTCATAGCTCAGTGAATGCGTACCACACAGCAGAATCATGACCTTCCTGCTTATCAACCACAAATGATGTCCTCATGGTCTTGTGGATAAATGATGCATACATGGAGCTGCAATCAAGCAAGGATTTCCTCCTTAGCTTTCACCAGACATTTGCAGAGCTTTACCTGACATTAGCTTTACCTGGCACTGAGGGACACAGGTGGTGCTGTGGGTTAAACCACAGAGCCTAGGACTTGTCGATCAGAAGGTCAGCAGTTTGAATCCCCACGATGGGGTGAGCTCCCGTTGCTCGGTCTCTGCTCCTGCCAACCTAGCAGTTCGAAAGCACATCAAAGTGCAAGTAGATAAATAGGTACCGCTCTGGCGGGAAGGTAAACGGCATTTCCTTGCGCTGCTCTGGTTCGCCAGAAGCGGCTTAGTCATGCTGGCCACATGACCTGGAAGCTTTATGCTGGCTCCCTCGGCCAATAAAGTGAGATGAACGCCGCAACCCCAGAGTCGGCCACGACTGGAACTAATGGTCAGGGGTCCCTTTACCTTTACCTTTTTACCTGGCATTGAAGAAGGGAGAAGCCTTTTCTCCCATGGAAAGTTGTGTGTTCACAAAAGCCACTGCATGGATGCTGGAGGGCTAACGGAGTCAAAACCATCCTTTGATACATTTTGAAAACCAGCACCCTGAGCAGAGATTGCGTATACTGCAGTAAATGCACACAAGACTTTTCTCATAACTGAATGTAGTTTGGTTTCAAGGAGAAAGAAACCAAAAGGAAAGCCTTTTATTTCCATTTTTAAAATAAAATACTTGTTCACAACTTCTTTTGCACTCATTGCCCACTCCAACCAGGAGGCTTAGAGGGGCTTGGGAAAAGCTGTCAACAGACTAGACTTTATGCTTAGCCTTTACACCTTCTATCACGAAGCTAAGTAAATCACTTGATCCATCATCTTAAAAATAAAGGAAACTGTTCTATGCCAGATTATCACCATTGTCATCCCTATCGTCATAGTAAATTACTACGCACACAGTAATTTACATGAGAAAGGGCACCAACTGGATTCCTTTTCTCATCTAAAGGTAAAGTGACTTTAGCAAATTAAGGGAGCTTCACACATTAAGCTTAGATCAAAACTATCATGTGATAAGAGATAAAAAAATAGTGTTCCATGCATGCACTGGAGCATTTAATCAGCTCCCTTCTGACAACAGCATTTGTTCTTCCCAGTCGCAAACATAGGATGCTTAGCCTCCAAAAGGATACACTTGCCTCATTACCTGCATGCCTAATGGCCTAACTGCACATGACAGGGCCAAAGCATATGGGAGCTGGATTAACCCTTCTCTTCCACAGTTCTTTAAAAACGAAAGGAAGAAATCCCAAAGCTGATATGAGTCCTAGAAAGGAAAGTTCAATTGCTAGTATCTGCTACAGGATTGTATTTTGTGGGACTGTAATGCATATGGTCAACCCTCTGCCAGCACAACATGGCTCTGATCCTGCCGGTGCCCCCTGATGTTGATCACTTAATAGTAACACAGGAAACTATCTTATACTGAGTCAGACAGTTGCCTCATCTAATTCATTCTTGTCTGTACTGGCTGGCAGCAGCTCTCAAAGAGTTTCCTTCAGGAATCTTTCACAACCCTCCCTGGAGATGCCAGGGACTGACTTTGGGATTTTCTGCATCTTCTCACCCACAGGCCTTTTCTCCTAATGTCCTGCTTGGCCCTCAGATGAACTTTGCATAGTCTTTCAAGATCTCTGGATTGCGGCAAATTGTGGACCACAGAAAAGGTGTTATGGAACTACTTTATTAGGTTTAGTTTGAGATTAAACAAATAAGATTGTTTTTCATGTTAATCATAGACCTCTCTGAGCTAGAATCACAGACTTGTAGAGTTGGAAAGGACCACAAGCATTATCTCATACAACCCTCTGTGATGACAGGAATCTTTTTGCCCAATGTGAGGCTTGAATCCACAACCCTGAGATAAAGAGTCTCATGCTTTACCGACGACTGAACTTAAAAATTTGTACAGTGGTACCTTGGTTCTCAAACTTTATCCATTCCAGGAATGCGTTTGACTCCCGAAACAGTTCAAAAACCAAGGCACGGCTTCCAATTGGCTGCAGGAGCTTTCTGCACTCAATGAGAAGCTGCAGAAGCCGTGTCCGACATTCAGCTTCTGAAAAACGTTCACAAACTGGAACACTCACTTCTGGGTTTGCGGCATTCGGGAGCTGATTTGTTCGGGAGCCAAGCTGTTTGAGTACCAAGATACCACTGTACTGACTCTCCAATGATGTTTAATTGCTGTCTTGAGCTGCATAAGGAAAAAATATTTAAGCACAATAGCATAATTTCTTGAAAGCGGGGTTATTTTCAGTGTATTATACCTGGTTAAATATACTGTAACCCATTCTGACTTCATACCCTGTAAGTATATTTATAGGAATGGTTGGGCCCACTGAAGTCCAGTCCATTCCACTTCTGCATGGGGATGGGACTATGTCCATTTCGTCCAATTTCTCTGTGGATTTTTCAGGGAAAATCCTTTAAAATGTGAGGGCTGCAGCACTGCCTCTGTCCCTCTAAATGATATATCTTTTTCTTTTAAATTTTTGGAAAAGACATATTCCTGGAGTGTCTAGCCTCTAAGGCTCCATGCACTTTGAATGCAGTACAGCACAGATAGCCAATATGGTGCCCTCCAGCTGTTGTGCTTTCATGAGCCCAGCCATCCTGGCCAGTGGTTAGAAATGATGAGAATTGTAGTCCAACATCTGGAGGGCCCAACATTGACTAGCCCTGCAATACACCCCTTTGAGTGACTGTAATTGATGACCTTCCATTACTCATGATCCATCTGGATTGAATCAGTTGGAGCTGAGTTTAAGAGATTCCCACCCCCCCATTGCTACTTCTTTAAGTTCTATCATCAAGGTAAACATTTTCAGCGGTGTTTTTATTATAGATCTTTAAGATATGTATTTCTCTCTTATGTAGCTTGCACACTAAAATACAGGCACTGTCCATTTTCCTCCTCAGTCTAAAACCTGTTAGCCAAACTCAGTAATTATAAGAGACTTCTACAGCTAACAGTATATCAACATTTTGTTCTCCCTCCCTCTTAGATAGTATAATTGTTGCACTCTTGCTTATGCAAGAGTGCATGAACTCCTTGGGATGAACTGACTCATTTCTAATACAGAAGTAGCTTACAGTACCATGGCTAATGCAGCTATGCTATATGAAGGTTTCTTCCCTCAAGGCTAGCAGATGAATTTTGTGTTCTGATATACATTGGCATTTACTCTATAGGGAAGCACTGTTTAGAAAGCATGAAAGGCAAGATAAAATAAAATAAAATCTCAGTTTGTCCACCCATTACAGATAAGAAATCGTAAAGGGCATTGTTACCAGAATTTATTTCAGACACTTATACCCAATTTACCTTTTTGTATTAATAATAGTTTATATTTCTATGGCAATGCATGTGCGTATTTAAGTACTGGAACAAGAAATTTTCTGTGCGTTAACATTTTGGTTTTAACGTAGTTCTGTTTGTTTCTGTTCATAGCAACTGTGTTATGTGTCAGCCCTGGTGTGGATGGATTTCATAACGCTCCATGGAAACAGAGGGGGTGGAGCTTGTTTTACAATCTGGATAGACTTTGGCTCCCAGTCCTTAATTTTTATAGGAAAGCTTTTCTATAGAAGAATGGGCTTCAGCCACAGGCTAGCTGTTAACAATGCAGAAAAAAACACCAGCAGAAAACAGAAAGGAAGATGGGTGATGGGTAAATCACCATATATACTAATAGTGGATGCAGCTACCAGGATCCTAGCCAAAACAGGGCAATTGACAAGCAAGATGAAGGCCTTTTGGGAGAACCCTAATACTTACAAACAAAAGATCTGGAAGGGAGGCCTAAGAATGTCAACCCCGAACCAAACTGCATAGCGTGTGCTGAGAGTGTTCAATAGACATAGAAAGCTGAGTATTTACTGGAGGAATGAAAAAATGTGGGAGAAGAATGGAATGGAGTGTCGTGGAAGAGGCCATGACTGGCTGATTAGAATCCTAAACAGGAGCACTCCACACTGTAACATTTTGTGGCAGGTCACCCTTGCACAGACTCATTGGGAGTGGTCACTGTGGTGGTTCTGCAGTGGCACCCTCTTGACATCATCACTGCCACTGACTGAGGTGGGGACAGCTCAGGACAGATCACTGGCAAGGTAAGGGCTATGTGGTTACATCAGTGGGAGAGCCTGTGCATTGGTAAGCAGCGATCATACTGGTGTCAATAGCACCACTCCACACTGACAGCTCCTGGTACTAATGGGAAGTGTAGGCCTTAAGCTTCATAGGATGGCCAGACGGAGAGAAAGGAATCAGAGCTCTTTAGTCAGCTATTAGTTCAGGAAGCAAAGGGTGGATAATTCCATTGCCAGTTAACCAGGGAAATAGAAATGATTTGCAGCCTGCCATAATCTGACTGCAGCAATGGATATGTTGGGGTGGTGGCACAGGGTGCTGAAGAGGTGACACTTACTGTGATAATTTCATTCTCATTTACCATGTCTGAAAATTGACTCATGTACAGCAGAGCAGTCTATAATCTTAAGCATGTCATTATAATTCACTAATCCCTTACTATTACTAGCATTTCTGTAAGCTGTTCGACAGCCTGCAAGAAGAAGGGCAGAGAATTCTCTACCATCATGAGTTTAGCATACATTACTATTAGTCTAGGTGTCTTGCATTACTAGGGTTGAGCCAAAGTGTGCTTCAAAAATGCCCCATTTTGGTACAAGGATTTGCCCATTCAGACTGAAGATTGCCTTACTCTGATCTGGCTTCATGATATCTTCAAATAACCAAATCTGACTGGCTATTTAACATTGTCAGGACATTTGCTTAGAATGTGGGAAACACTGGCATGTCATCATCATATTGCCTAAGTCAGTGGGCAACACTTTCAGGGGGGAAATCTGCTCACACCACACAATTTTTTTTATTGATAAGAAATACATTGGAAGACAAAACAAAAAAGAATTCATAGGAGTGCTTGATTTATAACACAGAACACAACTACTTTATAATATGATCATGGGACACTGAGAAAATTTAAAACAATGCAGCTACATAAGAAGAAGAAAATATTGATACTATGCTATATAACATTGAAATGTTTCTTCAATTGTCCTCGAATCTTCTCTCCATACCTGAGATTATCTCCTGCCAGTGTGGTATGCCACACACTTTGAGAACGCTGGCCTAAGTGATCTTCGATGAATAGATGAGATTACTTCAGGGAGAAACCATTGCTGGATTTTTATTTTTATTTTTAATGACAACAAAGGTGCAAAATGGAAAAATAAGCATGCCAAAAGGAAAACAATAATGGTGATACAGGGTGTGTGAAAGAGAGCAACAGAGAGAGTAAAGCCGGAGAAAAACTAAAGTTCATTTTATCATGCATGAATCTGAATTGTACAGGCACAAAAACTATGCAGTGGAGAAGAAAGGTCATATCTTGAACTAGATCAGTGTTATCACTTCAGCCCTAATACTCTGCATGATGTGAAAGGAGGACGGTGACAGATGATAGCAAATCTACTGAGTGCATGACTTGATAAGTGGAATGCTGAAATAATCATGCTGAGCTACAACCCTTTCTACAATCTGAGATGGCAAAGAAGAATTGTAAGTAAATTAATAGCAATTGTGGTGGACGAGAATGGCCCCATGAAAACAGTATGCCAGGTATCTCAAGGTTGATAGGTAGGACTGCCATACATCTGGAATTTCCCAGACATAGATGTGATTCGATATGGCACCCCATATTGAAAGTGTTGACTTTTTTTTGACGAAAATACAACAATGGCAACTTAGGCAAAACAAACAAACAAAACAAAACACCTTAACAACTTTTGTGTCCAGATTTTCATGCAGACAAACATACAGTTTGCGTATTTCTCTTTGGCTATCTTCTGCCCCATGCATAGCCTACCAAAACTAGACCAAATGTCATTTTCACATCTTGCTTATCATCTGGTTAAGTGTTTAGTCCAAAATCTAGCACTGCCTTCCAAGTAGCAGCACTTTGATACATACGAAAGTCAATGTGGCGTTTGCCTCCTAGGTGGGTCATAAGGAAAGGGTTAAATGAGTGTGAAGTGATTGGCCAGTGGGAACCCAAGGGGAGGAGTTAGAGTTAGAGTTGGAGTTGTGTGGAAGTCAGTTGGGAGCTGGAGAAGGAAGAGGGAGGATAAGTCTGTGGGTTGGTCTAGTTTTGATGTGAGAGAGTGAGAGCAACTGTTAGGAGGAGTCAGATAGACAGTTGGGATAATAAATTAGGAGTTATTAGGAAGGTATAGGCCAGTAAAGAAACTAAGATTAAGAAACTGACAAGAAAAATTATCTGAAACCATAAACTTGTTAATGCTTATAAAATAAACTTGCTTATTTGATTTAATGTTAACAACTGTCTGGACTCAGTGTGTACCCGAGAGAAACGGGTTGGTGGCAGCGGGGAAGTGATCATAGTGGTGGCACAGGGATCAATAGACCGTCACACATCCAGGGGCCCTGTGTGATAGTCAACTCTTTCATTACTGTTTCTTTCTCAGGGTGGGGGGGTGGGGGTGGAAAAAGGAAGAAGCACTTGGATTCATAAATCCAATAAATCCAATAAATCCAATTTGGCAAACAAATCCAAAACAGTGTATAAGCAGCTGGTACTTTCACAAACTGAGGAACTGCTACTGATTGATTTCTCTGTTCCACAGGAGTCTGCTGTGGAAAAGGGCGTACAGGAGAAAACTGGAGGGCAAATTGCAGGATGGAGATGAAGAGCTGCTGCTTCTAGATCTCTTCACTCTAGGTGTGCCAGGGGACTTGGAGGAGCAACCAGGGCTTGAGGAAATGGTGGCATTTTCCTCAGTGGAGAAAAACCACGCAGGAAAAGCTTGAGGCATGTGTGCATGCGCCAGTGGATTGGGGTGGCATGCAACACTAT